CATTTATAATTCACTGATATAGCAGATTAAGGCTTTCTAAAATTGCAGTTGCTTAAATTAATCATTAGTTAAAATAAAAACAATGTATTTTGCACTAAAAGAACTTACTTTTAGCCACCAAAAATCCCAAACTGTGTCGACATTTTTTTTTAAATAAAAAAAATATTTAAAAATCCGATTTAAATTTAAAAAACATCTGATTTACGTTTTTAAAATCGTTTTTTTTAATTTTGATTTTAAAAATAAAAAAAATCACCAACCCTGTACGCGGGTCGTTTTGTTTTGCCCGGAAGTTCTCGCAAGATCTACTCCTCTCCTCCCCTCTCTCACTCTGTCTCTTTCTGAATACTGTCTATCGGTGTGAACGATCAAATTGACCAAAACAAAGTTTTAAAATGATGTTAAAAAACAAAACTATTAATTTGGTCGTCTACAAAGATGCTACGGCTATTTAACTTTTGCCCGGAAGTTCTCGCGCTATTCCTCCCTCTCTCTCTCTTTCTCTCTCTCCACTGCCCACAGACAAAATTGCACGCTTTTAGGCTAACACTAACAGTAGTACAATAGATCTAGATAAATCTAGAACGTTTGTTCACAGCACAGAATTCTACAATACTGTTATCACAGTGTAGAATTCTGTGGTCAAGGGTGAACGCTTAACTGGTTGGCCTAGGCTATAACGGTGAACGCCCATCGGGTGAGAATAGCCAAAAGACTCGCCTGCGCTATGAGAATAGAGGTGGCCTTGGCGTAACTACTCGAAATACAATGTCTTATAAATCAGCTTGTCTTGTGAGAGGGGGTTTTACATTCCGAAGTGTATACAGACCCGGAAACCGGGAACAAAGTCACGAAGTATACAGACCCGGTAGGGGAACTCTTTTTATGATTTCGGAAAGTTTCAGCGCCCTGACCCGGTAGTGTGTTTGTGTATGTGTGTGTGTGTGTCTGTGTGTGTGTGAGAGAGAGAGAAAGAAGTGCTAGCAAAATATGACATGCCCCAGTTGGCAGGAGGGAACGAGAGAAAGATAGAGTAGGAAATAGGTGGGGAGAGAGAAAGACAGAGACAAACAAAGAGAAAGAGAAGGCGAGCGATACACAGAGGAGAGAGAGAGGAAGAGAAATAGAGAAGGTCACTGCTCGATTGAAATTATGCATTGTTCTTTACTTCAAATTGTGATTCCTCCAACTCCAAAACGGAGGAAAAACGATCGCTCATCGAAAAGACATCCGCAATCTTCATTTAGATCTAGATCTAGGCTAGCCTCAAAACTAGATCAATGATTTATGTCTATCTGTCTAGATCTAGACCTAGGCCATAGATCTAGAAGAACCTAGGTCTACCCTGAGCCAAGAGGGCGCTGAAACTTTCCGAAATCACAAAAGAGTTCCCCCTACCGGCTCTGTATACTTTGTGACTTTGTTCCCGGTTACCGGGTCTGTATACACTCCCTTTAAATTCATTCATGTGTTTGTAACACTATATAAATAGAAAGTTATGAAAGATACAGCCTTATTTTTATCATCGATTAACACACTCCCACAGTATTCATGGCAAAAACACACGTTTCCCGGCACGCGCTCTGCTGTACACCAACAGTACACACTGAGTGACAACGGCGCCTGCCAGGAATGTCAGACGCAATCGGTTGCTGATAAGATTTGCATCTCAGCACAGACACAGGACAAGAGTTTTTAATAGAATTCTGGGGTTCATGGTGAACACTACACTGGTTGTCCTTCTACCGAGGAGAAGCCGAAGCCACACCCGGTGAGAACAGCCAAAAAAAGGCTGGCCTGCGTAATTATAGAGATGGCCTTTTAAAAAAGGTAGCGTCAATTGCCACCGAGTGACCCTGTGGCAATTGACAAAAATTGCTTTTTGACAATTGCCACCGAGTGAATCGGTGTCAAGTCTGAAAACAACACTATCTTTAGCATTGTACATATAATGTGTGTCTAATGGGTCAATTTGTTCTCAATAATTTCATTGGACAAGCATCTAGTCTAGAGTAGAGCTACGGTACCAACTTGGCGTGTTTTCAATGAGACGTAGGCCTAGATCTAGCCTTAGCCTACACTTTGATGTAGAACCAACACAGGCAATTCTAGAAGTAGGTCACAAACGCACACAAACTCAAGCAGAAATTCACGTTATATCGGGGAACATAAATTGGGGGACGGGGGTCAGGAAAAGACACACGCACACACACACACACACACAGAGGGACAGAGAGGCGAACGCACAACACCGAGCACTCGAGCACAATAAGCTTGATCGGTAAGATTGAAGAATACCGGACCAGCTGACTGACTTTGCCTGGGCTTTGTCTCAACCTTAGGAATTCATAATTTTCCCGTTTTTAATATCTCTCAGTGGAGAAACTCCGACCGGTAGATCTATTCAAGAGACTATTCATTCATTAAAGTTTTGTCAGGGGGGAGCCCCCTCCCCCCTCCTCCATCCCAACCACCCGCCCCACCTACCCCACTTTCTCGCGCAATAATGTACCAGTGGTCCGGTATTCTTCAATCTTCCCGCTTGATCTACCCACCAACACAAAAGAGCTCCAATTTACTCAGTGGCAATTAACAAAAAGTCAATGTTTGTCAATAGTGGCAATTGACACTACCTTTGCCTTTAAAAAATCAACTCTTTACTCTTCTAGAATCTAGTCTAGAATCTAGATCTAATCTAGATTAGATCTAGAAATCTAGATCTAATCTAGATTAGATCTAGAAATCTAGATCTAGAATCTAGATATAGACTCTAGATCTAGACTCTAGTTCTCATTTCACCGTGAACCATGAAGTTCACGACAAAGGCTACATCCCTCATCTAAGATCTCGCTTCACTCCGAGTCGGAAACTGAAGTCATCAAAACTGTCCTCACGCCGCACACGCAGCAGTAACGGCAACGGCACAACTGTACATTACTTAGCCTACCTTTTGTATGGTAGCCTGAGTAGGCTGCGGATTTGGTGGCTTCTGGTGGGGCGGAACAAACACAGTAGACATTTTGTCTAATGACACACGTAGATAATATATCAATTTATTGTCACAATCCGAATAACAATAACAGCACTTGGCGAGGCCAACAGCTCGTTGTCCACACCCGAGGAGCGATGATGGAGAAGCGCGGATCGACCTCCGGCCAGTCCAATCGAAAGGAGAGCTCCAGGATTGATCCAGATTGGGTGCGGCAACACAATCGAAGACCTTAATCTTTTTGTGCTCTCTTGGCCTAAAAGTAAGTCAGTTAGGCCCGTGAATAGAGAGTAGTGGTTTATATCATATCTATGTTTAGGCCTAATAAGCCTTGTGTCCCAAATTCGCCCGTCGAGACTGTGAAAGATGACCGGTGCCAATGTCATCATATCCTAGGCTAGAGAATCATACTTAACTCTCCACTTTCCCCTTTCAAATATATGACGTGAACTGGTATGTTTTCTTCTGCTTATTCTTCTACTTCTCCCCCCCCCCCCCCAAAAAAAACACCCTATTATTAACAGTATTGATACAGTGTTGACGGTGTTTGTTTCAGTAATGTTTTTACGCGCTTGCAACTGCATATTAAGGTCATATTATTATGAGCACCATCAGTGACTTTGCTCCAAGTGAGAAAAAAATAGAACTCTAAAAGAAAATGAGACAACATGCAGCTGAATGTAATTTTTTTTAAAGTGTACTTTGCTAGGACGATATCTATTATTATTAGCTATTTATTTTCTTCAATGCGTGAAACATTTCTTGATGCCGGATCTGTCATAAAATGATAATTAATCGTTTAAGATTCCTCACAAATGCGACGGTGTTTCTGCTATGTCATTTTACATGTTGTGCCCTGTGATTGTGGTAGATATGACTATTTAGACCAATGATTGTCAGAAAATGTTGACAGAAGTGAGAGCAAGAAAATGACGAATGTTCCATATTTATGACAGACCTACGGTTTCAAAATCGATGGACTGGCTTATTAGCCTTATTTTTATTGGAGACAGGGTGGGCTAAAATTCTGGGCATAGAAATTTATTCTGTTTTTCGTAGAGACGAGAGCACTTCCGCTGCTGGAGTTACTTGCAGATTTTCGCTTGTGGTGTGTGTTGAACATCAACAAAATAGATTGTGTTGAGGTTACACATTATAACAATAACCATGAGTGACAGTTACGACAGAGCAATTACTGTATTCTCACCTGATGGACACTTGTTCCAAGTTGAATATGCCCAGGAAGCTGTCAAAAAAGGGTCCACAGCGGTAAGCTTTGCGTTGACTGCTGACTACAACTACAAGACCAAAGATTTGCTAGCGCGGGGCGAGTCGGGTACCGGTGACAATACATGCGTCTCCGTTTAGATTAGATCATGTGTGACAATAGAATAAAATGGATTCTCCCCATCAGTGGTATAATAGGCTACTAATTAGTAGTGTTCCAAGTTGAATATGCCCAGGAAGCTGTCAAAAAAGGGTCCACAGCAGTAAGCTTTGCGTTGTTGACTGCTGACTACAACTACAACTTACAAGACCAAAGATTTGCTAGCGCGGGGCGAGTCGGGTACCGGTGACAATACATGCGACTCCGTTTAGATAAGATCATGTGTGACAATAGAATAGAATGGATTCTCCCCATCAGTGGTATAATAGGCTACTAATTAGTAGACTCAACGGTAAATTTATAGAAGGCCACCTCTATTCTCACCCCGGGTGAGAATAGCGCAGGCGAGTCTTTTGGCTATTCTCACCCGGTGGGCGTTCACCATTATGGTATATGCCTAGGCCAACCAGTGAAGCGTTCACCCTGGACCACAGAATTCTACACTGAGATAACAGTATTGTAGAATTCTGTGCTGTGAACAGATGTTCTATTACTGCTGTTAGTGTTAGCCTAAAAGCGTGCAATTTTGTCTGTGGGCAGTGGAGAGAGAGAGAGAGGAGTAGCGTGAGAACTTCCGGGCAAAACAAAATGGCAACCCACGTAGTTCGGCTCGATTCGGAATGTTAAATAGCCGTAGCATCTTTGAAGACGACCAAATTAATTTACTTTTGTGTTTTAACATCATTTTTAAACTTTGTTTTGGTCAATTTGATCGTCCACACCGGTCCGATAGACAGTGTTCAGAAAGAGAGAGAGAGAGGGGAGGAGTAGATCTTGCGAGAACTTCCGGGCAAAACAAAATGGGGACCTGCGTAGTTCGGCTCGATTCGAAAAGTGAAATAGCCATAGCATCTTTGAAGACGATCAAATTAGCTTACTTTTGAGCTATAACGTAATTTTTTCTTGGCTTTTATCAATTTGATCATCCACACCGATAGACAGTATTCCGATTTCACACCGGGTGAGAATAGCCTACACTGGCAAGTCTCACCCGGGGTGAGAGGTAGATCGTATTTTTATTCTCACCCCGGGTGAGGATAGCCACTTACTTTAAGAAACCCTCCCGTTATTTTGTGGGTTTTTTAGGGGGAAGTGGCTTTAAGTGGCTATCCTCACCGTCACCAGGGCCAGGGGTGAGAATAAAAATACGATCGACCTCTCACTCCGGGTGAGGCTTGCCAGCGTTGGCTATTCTCACCCGCTGTGAAACTACCTGTTTTGTCTAATTTCGGAATACTGTCTTATCGGTGTGGATGATCAAATTGACAAAATGACGTTATAGCACAAAAGTAAGCTAATTTGATCGTCTACAAAAGTTGCTATGGCTATTTTACTTTTCGAATCGAGCTGAACTATGCGGGTCGCCATTTTGTTTTGCCCGGAAGTTCTCGCAAGATCTACTCCTCCTCCTCTCTCTCTCTCTCTCTTTTTTTAAAGTTTTAGTAGAGGTTTTACGGCACTCGCAACTGCATAAGGTCATATGAGTGCCGGAAGATTAGAGGAGAGAGTTAACAAACATAAAAAAGAAGAAGGGGAGATAAGGATGATAGATATTTAATAGGAAAGAAGGAGCAAACCACACCAGAGCACCAGACAACCACCCACTCTCTCTATCACTTTCTGAATACATACTGTCTATCAGTGTGGACGATCAAATTGACCAAAACAAAGTTAAAATGATGTTAAAACACAAAAGTGAATTAATTTGGTAGATACTACGGCTATTTAACTTTTCGAATCAAGCCGAACTACGAAAGTTCTCGCTCTACTCCTCTCTCTCTCTCTTTCTCTCTCTCCACTGCCCACAAACAAAATTACATGCTTTTAGGCTAACAGTAGTAACACAAGAGCACTGGAACGTTTGTTCACGGCCAGAATTCTACAATTCTGTTATCACAGTGTAGAATTCTGTGGTTCAGGGTGAACGCTACACTGGTTGGCCTAGGCTATCACAGTGAACGCACACCGGGTGAGAATAGCCAAAAGGCTCGCCTGCGCTATTCTCACCCGGGGTGAAAATAGAGGTGGCCTTTTTAGGGCCCTGAACACGATCTTGGCATTGAAAAACGTCGCAAATGGTTAATTTAGATGTTAGGTACATCCCCCCTGAACCACCGCCCTACTACACAGTTATTACATACTTGCTCGTCAGGGGGAGACCCCCTGAAACCCTCCTAATGACTACAAAAGCATGCATTATTTTTTAAAATCCTAAAACTAAACCTTAATTTTAAAAACTGACCTTATTTGTGTAGCAATGCCAATCGGGCTTTCCCGCGAGGCGAAAATTTGGTCCCCGTTTACGGGCGATTTTGCGGACCCGGCCGAAGCGTAGGTG